CAGCATCAGCAGCAGGGGCAGGAGAGGCACAAGAGGTGAGGTCAAAGAGGGAGAGACCGTCTGCCCTATCGCACTGTAAGAAAAGCTGCAGGTCATCTATCCAGACGTCAAAGTCAACGGCCCGACCCTCTGCTTCAAAGGCGAGGACACTAGGGGTAGCCATGACAGCAGTGGACTAGCAGCGCGAACAGTAGGGTAAGGGCAGTGCAGTGGCAGAGGCGCTGCTCTTACCGGACAGGGCGGCTCGGCGGTGCGAGCGGCTCCGCTGCAGGGCGGCTCGGCGGCTCGGCGACTCGGCGGCTTGGCTGCTGGGCGGCTCGGCGGCTCTGTTGCTCGGCGGCTCGGCGGCTCGGCAGTTGGCTGCTCGGCTGCTGGGCGGCTCGGCGGCTCGGCTGCTGGGCGGCTCGGCTGCTGGGCAGCTCGGCGGTTCGGCTGCTGGGCGGCTCGGCGGCGGCAGCTCCCGACTCAGGGACGGCGGCGGGGCCGTGAGGAGGCCGCAGAAAGCGGCTCGAGAGGCCAGGTGGAGCGGCGGCGAGGCCAGGTCGAGCGGCGGCGGGGTCGGGTGAGGCGGCGTCGGGGCCGGGAAGGGCGGCGCCGTGGCCACAGTGGTAGGCGTCAGGGCCGCAAGGGCGGCGCAAGGGTGGGCCGACGAGCGGCTCGAAGGGCCGCTGGAAGAGGCGGCGACGGGGCCGCTGGAAGAGGCGGCGACGGGCCGCTGGAAGAGGCGGCGGCGAGGCCGCTGGAAGAGGCGGCGTCGGGCCGAGGGGGGAGGCGGCGAATCCGCTGAAAGGGCGGCGACGAGGCCGCGGGTGGAGGGCGGCGACGGGCCGCTAAGGGCGATACGACGAGGCCGCGTAAGAGGCGGTGTGACAGGGCCGCGAAAGGGCGGCGCGATGCGGCCGTGAAAAGCGGCGCGACGGGCCATAAGGGCGGCGCTAGGAGGCCGTGAGAGCGCCGCTAAGGGCGACGCGACGGGAGGGAGAGCACACAGGGCGCGACTCGGGCCTGAGCGGAGCGTGCTCCGGGCAGGAAAAAAAAAATTCGTAGTGGTGGGCCCTAGGAATCGTTCCCGCTAGGGAACCTGCTCGATACCATGAGAAGAAACGAGAATGAATGAACTATGAAAGAGTTGGGTACAAGTACTAACCCTAAATGGGTTGTACCCCTTATGGGATACCCCACTACAGCGTACACAAAATGTATAAGCTATAACATTCTGACAGCCAGAGAGGTGCCACATGGCATTTTAGAGGGGGTGATGACGTTTGCGTCGAAACTCACATTCGCGCCTCAACATGTGAACGACCATGGAAACACTCAAGTTGTTCAATAACAAAAACCCTAGCACAAAATATACCATATATATGTGTCAGAATGTTATTCTTATGTTCTAGCCTGTAGTGGGGTGCTCTATAGCGAGTACAACCCTTCTAGGGTTTGCTATTTGTATCCCCATTTCTGCTAGTTCAATCCTCTTTCTTCCTTCTAACTTTCACAATATGCACATGGATATTATGTAGATTTTTCCTATGAGAAGACACCCCCCCATTTTTTCCTTGTATTTTTAGATATACCCTAGGGTGTTATGTATGGGAGAACACGGTAGTATAGGAAGCACCTATTTAGTGATGTATTTGTTCATGAAATGGGCTAGATATTGTGTCAACTCTACGAAGGGGTATAATCATGTGTCTTGCCAACAGTCACAAGACTTCGCATTCCTACCTGTAACTCATGCAAAGAGACCAGGCCCTCAGATTGGTTTGAGGGTATGCCGATGGATCAGCGTGCCCCGGCCAACGAGGTGTCCAAATCAGCGTTCGCGGTTTTTTTTATACTGATTTTGCCAGTGTAAAAATCATAAGTAAACTGAACCAACCGTGTAATAACAAAAAGCTCTAACTGAAACCCCAGTACAAGGTGTCTGGTATTGTTGATGTGATACCGTATCACCCCGGATAGAATCGCAGGCCTATTATAAGCGCATGCGCTTCTATCTGGAGCAATGCGCTTATGGCCGATCCTTAATTATAAGCGCACCCCCTGTGAAAACGTTACTTATTATAAGCGCATGTACAACTTTAAATAAAAATTTCTGTTCGAAATGGTAGCGAGTTTCAATTTTGAAGCGAGTACAATCTCATTTTCGTTGAGTTTGACTCTCGAAGACCTGACTAGCTGCGAGTCCAGACATGATGTGCTGGCATGACTGCAAAGTGTTGCATCTTGGCCCCTGTGTGCTGGAGAAGAATCGCTTGGAGATTCTGCATGGTGAGGCGAAAAATTTCGACTCGGTTGAAATGGCAAGAGTGAAACATACAATTTGGTGTCTTAAATTAATAAATTCGTATATGTCGTTATATAAGCGCATGCGCTTATAAAAATGACTCAATTAGAAGCGCACTGTCAGAATATTATCTTATTGTTCTAGCCTGTAGTGGGGTGCTCTATAGCGAGTACAACCCTTCTAGGGTTTGCTATTTGTATCCTCATTCTTGCTAGTTCAATCCTCTTTCTTCCTTCTAATTTTGACATGCTATCAGAGCAGGTCGATCCCCTTGGATCGATCCTGTGGGTGTGTCCCCACCTTGCTTCCGCTGCTAATTTTTCCTCCCGCCGTGCGCCCCGAGGCGCGCGGCGGTTTTCTGCCCGCCGTGCGCCCCGAGGCGCGCGGCGGTTCATTGCCCGCTGTGCGCCCCGAGGCGCGCGGCGGGCTTCTCCCCTACGTCGCGGCCCCGCCCCGATCGTCGCGGCCCCGCCCCTTGACGCGGCCCCGCTCTACGTCGCGGCCCCGCCCCGGCCCGTCGCCGCCCGTGCGCCTGCCCGGCTCGGCCCCGCCCTTCGTCGCGGTCCCGCCCCGGCCCGTCGCCGCCCGTGCGCCTGCCCGGCTTGGCCCCGCCCTATGTCGCGGCCCCGCCCTACGAAGCGGCCCTGCCCTACGTCGCGGCCCCGCCCCGACCGTCGCGGCCCCGCCCCTCGTCGCGGCCCCGCCCCTGCGTCGCGGCCCCGCCCCTCGAAGCGGCCCCGCCCTACGTCACGGCCCCGCCCCGACCGTCGCGGCCCCGCCCCGGACCCTACGCGGCCCCGCCCTACCTTAGCGGCCCCGACCTGTCGCGGCCCCAACCGACCGTCGCGGCCCCGCCCTACGTCGCGGTCCCCCCCCTACGTCGCGGCCCCGCCCCGCTCGTCGCGGCCCCGCCCCTTGTCGCGGCCCCGCCCCTTGTCGCGGCCCCGCCCTCCCCTCAGGTCCGTGGTGGGCCGCCCCCCCCCCCCCCCCCCCCTTTCTCCCCTCCCCTCCCCTCCCCTCCCCCCCCTTTCTCCCCTCCCGCAAGCGGCCCCCTCAGGTCGCCACGACGGACGACGGGAGGGGCGAGCTGTGGGGTGGCGGGTATGGGGGTGGCCGGTGTGCCTTCCTCCCTTTCTCCTCCTCCTCCTTCGTCTCCCACTGCTGCAGCTGTCGCTGAGGGGGGTGGTTGTGTGGGAGACTGGGTTTAGGGTTTAAGGGGGGTGTGTGGGAGTAGAGCTAGTGGTGTAGCAGTGGGTGTGTATCAGGGGGGTGGGACTGTGTGCGGGAGGATGAGCGGAGGTTGCCAGTTTGTCGTCAGCAGCACCTGTAGTCCGGGGCGCTGTCCCGGTAGCCCAGTCGTAGCCAGCTGTGCCAGCCGCCCGTGGGTCCGTTGCCCGTCCGCCGCTATTTGAGCCGCGGGGCCTGTTACTCCTGTAGTCCGGGCGCTGTCCGGTAGCCGCTGTGCCAGTCTGCCTCCTGTTGCCCGTGTGTCTGCAGCTTCAGCCGTCGCCTCCTGTCTCCTCTCCCCTCACTCTCCCTCCTCCTCCTCACTTGCCCGTTGTGACTACCACTAGCTTTGCTTATAATTGTAAACTCTAAACTATTACTTCTTGAACTTGTGCTCAGAATGTGTGGTGACATTGTGATCCACTCTGAGCTTGTTTTGCTTTGCCTGCTCTGCTGATTACACCCCACTTTGGCTATGGGGGTGTGTCAGAATATTATCTTATTGTTCTAGCCTGTAGTGGGGTGCTCTATAGCGAGTACAACCCTTCTAGGGTTTGCTATTTGTATCCTCATTCTTGCTAGTTCAATCCTCTTTCTTCCTTCTAATTTTGACACGCACCCCCCTAAAAAACTCTGCTTTATTATAAGCGCAGGTGCGCTTCTATCCGGGGTAATACGGTAGGTTCCAGCGAGGCTAAACACTTCGGCGCGCACCTGATATCTGTGCAGTGCATGCGAAAAAATGCCAAGTGGGTGGGTGGGGTCTCAGCTCAGGAATCACGGGAAGGTACAGATTGTACACGTGTACCCTATACCCCCCCCCCCCCCCCCCCCCCCCCCCCACCCCCCCCCCCCCCACACGCGGTCAACTCTGTTTCAGTGTGACTCACGTCACTATACTGATTCGTCAGTGTTACTTGTAAAGAAACTCGCAAGATGGTCAGTGTGACAAGGTAGGAGGATATACTGAAATTTCAGTGCAAAATTGAAGCATATGCTGAATTTTCAGGGAAAACGAAAATCACAGCTACAAAATCAGCGTAATCAGCGTGTTGTACGCTGATATCTGAGGGCATGGAAGGGACACATGCTACAGTAACATGCACTCATACAGCAATACTACGATACTACTACTGTAGTTTTATACAATCGATCGAACTGCTGAATTGCAAGTCAAATTTCTTTTCCCAACAGGTACAGCTTTCATCACATCACAGGAGAACAGCATGGAGTATCATGTTCAAATTAAGCATGAATTGAGGTCTGGGCTGGGCAGTACTTGCTCCATATGAAAATAAACAATCACAAGCAAAGAGATTTCTATGTACACACCTTACAATGCCACGTTGTAGCATTCTGGGATAACGTTGCATCTCAAATTCTTCACCAAAATGAATGACACTTATGGGGCTCACAGCTGGCCACTCCTTGAGCATATGTTTGGCAGCGCCTCCGATGCAGCATGGAGCAGCAGAGAGGGGGAGTGCTAGTGCAGGGCGAAGGTGAGGGCGTTGTTGCGCAGGGGGTCAGCCAGGAAGGCCTCCCAGTCGTCCAACACACCCTGCCCCGTCACCACCGCCTGGGCGGCAAAGCCCACCCACGCCATCATTGCCAGCCGCCCGTTCTTGATCTCCCGCACCTGAGTGGGGAGAGCAGCAAGAGAGGGGGGAGCAGCAGAGGCAGTGATGGAGCAGCAGAGGCAGTGATGGAGCAGGGATGCGTGGGCGTGTTGCGCCTTCACACTGATTGGTGGCATCCTCTAGGGCTTCCCCCCATGCCTTAACGCCCTCCCAAGACTACCTTCCACGCCTTGACGTGCACACCCCAGCGCCCATGCTATGTTGCAAAATACGCGGCCGGCGTACCAGTCGCGTACGAACCATACGCTCACGTACGTACGTGAGACGCGGAATTTCCGCCCCACGATACGCTCGAAATACGGTCGCCTGGGCAGGGGAAAAAAAGTTCCCGGGCAGGGGAAAAAAAGTATCAGGGGGTAAGACACGTTGCCTATGTTCATTGTGACCTTGCACAGTTGGGTTTTTCCCTATGTATGAAACTTTTTTTCCCCATTACAAACATGCATTGCAAGTACACACATACTAGCAACTACTTGACTGATACATCCCCTAACTCCCCTACTCCCCAAACCTTCAACTGCTTCTCCTCCTCCCCTACTCCTGAAGCTCGCCGCCTCCTCAACCACTTACTGTGCTGCTGCTGCCTTTCTTACTCCACGTACTAATCGGCCAGCATGGCTTCATCCTCCTCCCCCTCCTCCTCCTCCTCCCCGTCCTCCTCCTTGTTGTATCCCTCCGGCAGAGCGGGTTCAGGGGTGTTGCCTGGAAGCACCGCCGATGACTCACCCCGCTTGTGGTACTTGTGGACCACATGCCAGTTGTGGGTCACATAAACTAGGTCTCGGAGCTTCTCCGAGCCTAGCTTGTTGCGGCGGGCAGTGTGCACCGACTCCCACGATGCCCACCCGCGCTCACACGGCAAGGCCGACACCGGCTGTGTCAGGGCACGGCACGCAAGGCTGGCCAGGTGGGGGTGGTCAGTCCCGTGCCATCCCCACCACTGCACCATCGAGTGCTTGCCTGCCTTCACGGCCTCCCTGTCGGCAATCGCCTCAGGGAGGCCGAACGATCCTTCGAGGGTGAGGAAGGCCGTGAGCCCCTCCTGCAAAACAAGAGAGGCCCGCCTCTCCTCACCAACCTTGTTGGTGAACGTCTCGCCGTCGTAGTGACGTGCGATGAACGCCTTGAAGATGCAGGTACATTCCAGGTCGTTGCGGAAAATACCCTCATCCTGATTTGCCGGGTTCAGGATCCGCCCCACGACGTGAAGAGCGCAAGCAAGGCTCTCGTCCCAACGGCGCCTAACAATCTTCCCAATGTCATCCGCAATCGCCCGCGGCAAAATCTTCTCCCCCGCTTCCAGCTTGTCGTTCATGTCCTCGGTCAGCTGCAGCATAAGGTCCCCATCATGCTGTAGATGGTTCCCATCATGCCTTTCGCGCTGCTGTCCGTGACCCGCATCACCTTGAATGAAATCGTCAAGAGCTCCACCAGGTAGGTAGCGTTCTTCCACCATGTGTCGTCCATGACGTGGCCGCGGAACGTATCCGCCGTCAGCTTCCTAGCCCCCGCCGACCAGTTGGCAAACTCCTCGCTCAGCACCAACTGCGACAGTGTGGACCGCAACTGGACGAGCCTTGAGAGGGCGATGTAGTTGGTGCCGAACCTGGTCCCCGCCGGCTTCACAAGCTGCTTCCCTTTTCCTCCCTTCACCGCCTTACTCCTCAGGTAATTGTGGGTGAAATGGTGGTTCCGGACGTAGGTGATCATGCCCCCGCACCGATCCACAATGTCCTTGCACCATGTGATTTTGCCCACGTCCTCCATCAAGAGGTCAAGCACGTGCGTAGCGCACGGCACGTACTCAATGTGCGGCCAATCCGCCATCAGCTCCTGCAGGCGGCCCCGTAGTTGGAGCCCCCGTCCATGCAAAGGGCTACCACGTTCTCGGGCCCCACTTTCTCGATGATGGGCCGGAGGAGGGACGCGATGTAGCCGCCGGTTTTGGACTACATGTTGCAGTCGATAGCCTCGATAAACACTGCTCCCGAATCGTTGACCAGCATGACGTTCGCCTGCGGCCTCCCGCACCGATCGGTCATCAAGTCGGAGGAGACGGTGACGCCATCCCTCTTCCAACTCGCGGCGATTGGCTGAAGCCCCTTCTCGATTCCCGTGCGGCATTGCTTAAGCCCAGCTCCTCTCACGTAGGTACGGCGCTGCGCGACATAACCGTGAGGGGCGTTGTTGATGGCCCTGACCATGTTGCGCCACAACGGGTTGTCGGCGTGGTGTTCGGGAATGCGACAGCTGGCGAAGAACTACAGACGAAGTTGTCCGCCTCGCCCTTCTTGCATTGCGCGTCGTCGCCAATGAAATCGGTGATGCGGCCTTTCTTCGCACCTCCCACGACAGCATCGAGCGCAGCATCCTCGGCCCGCCTTTTTTCGTCGCGGTTGGCTGCCTTCTTCTCGTAATGCACCGCCGCTCGCACGTCGGGCGGAACCTTAGCGCACAGGCGGACGTCGCGAGATCTCTGTCCCTTCCATTTCGCGAGATGCTGAGCGCATCGAAACGCACCACCTTTGAACTCGATGGTGCAATACTTGCAATACTTGCAAACGCGGACAGCAGCGAGTGTGCCGGGACGGATGGGAACCTTGAAATGCTTGAAAACGACATGAGTTCTATCCTCCTCCTGCCATTGCGCCTCCGAACTCGAGGCCGAAGGATCAGTAGGCTGAGTAGACGGACCAGAAGGCTGAGTGTCGAGAGAAGTGGCTGGTGGAGTAGACATAGCTCAACACTGAACAGGGATGACAACTGGATGAGAAAAGTGTTGAGGTGGGGTCAATTATACTTACCACGATTTGGTTGGGGGGTGGGGGACGTGCTGTGGTTGGTCACAAGTTGTTGGGGGTGAGTGGGCGCAATGTTGATGTTCGTGGGGTGATCGTGGCGACTCGGTTTTGCACGTCCCCTGGTTGGAAAAACGCGACCCGAAATGTTGGTATACGTGCGTACGGGAAAAGCACGAACTTTTTTTTGTTGTTTTTTTGTTTTTGCCAGCCCGGCTTTCCGTATCGCGCATTTGTCCCCGTTTCACGTTTTTGCGTTTATACGTGAACGCATACACGTGAAACGAAAATTTTGCTGAGCGTATACAGTATCATAGCGCCCATGCACACAACACACCCATGCACATAGCACCCATGCACACAGCACCCATGCACACAGCACACCCATGCACACAACACCCATGCACACAGCACCCATGCGCACAGCACCCATGCGCACAGCACCCATGCGCACAGCACACCCATGCGCACAGCACACCCATGCACACAGCACCCATGCACACAGCACACCCATGCACACAGCACCCATGCACACAGCACCCATGCGCACAGCACCCATGCGCACAGCACACCCATGCGCACAGCACACCCATGCACACACCACCCATGCACACACCACCCATGCACACACCACCCATGCACACGGCACCCATGCACACAGCACCCATGCACACAGCACCCATGCACACAGCACCCATGCACACAGCACCCATGCGCACAGCACACCCATGCACACACCACCCATGCACACAGCACCCATGCACACAGCACCCATGCACACAGCACACCCATGCACACAGCACCCTTGCACACAGCACCCATGCACACAGCACCCATGCACACAGCACCCATGCATACAGCACACATGCATACAGCACCCATGCACACACCACCCATGCACACAGCACCCATGCACACAGCACCCATGCACACACCAGCACCCACCCTCGCCTTGAATAACGACCACTCCTGCCCAGCACACTTTCACTTTCAACACCCCTGCTTGCACCTTCACCACCCGTTCACGCCACGGCAACATCAGCAGCACATGCACCCACCTTCAAGTCTTCAAACCGCTCTGCATCGTTGGCGAGCCCCAGCGGGTCGAACAGCCACCCGCCCGGGTGGTTGATGTCGCCCGGCAGAAACACCCCCAGCGGCTCCAACGCTGCTATGCCTGTGTAACGCGCATACTCTGGTCCTAGCTGGGGTGTGGGTTGCAGTGGATAAGGGGAAAGTGACGGGGAGATGGGGAAAGGGAGTTGCAACACCCCCATCTGCTATTCCCGTGTCGCGATCATACTCTGCGCTCAAGTGGGAGGGGGAGAGGGAAGGGGAAATGGGAAGGGAAGGGGGTGACGGAGCCGAGGGGCCCCAACGCCCACGTGTTGCGCATACTCTGGACCTCTGTGGACGAGGGGGTCGCGCGAGCAGGGGAGAGGCGGGAGAGAGGAGAGGGAGGTGGTCTCAGGGAGAAGAATCAGGGCGCCCTGATGCGCGCATGCCTGGTTCACCCAGGTGGCGGGAAGAGGGGGGGAAATTGTAGGCCACCATGGGACGGAGAGGAGAGCAGCGATGGGGAAAGGGACAACGACATCGAACGAGGTGGCCTACAATATTCCCCCCTCCTCCTGAGAAAAAGGGAACGCAGGATGGGGTGGGCGTAAAGGGAGAAGCATGGAGGACCAGAACAGTTGGTCGAGTCTTGACCAGAACAGTTGGTCGAGTCTTGACCAGAACAGTTGGTCGAGTCTTGACCAGAACAGTTGGTCGAGTCTTGACCAGAACAGTTGGTCGAGTCTTGACCAGAACAGTTGGTCGAGTCTTGACCAGAACAGTTGGTCGAGTCTTGATGACAAAGCCATGCGGTGACAGGTCATCGTGGTGGCATGGCAACGCATCGAGGCAATATTTGGACAACATGAAAGCCGGTGAGCGTGTGGGAGCGTTCCTTCAAGTGGTTGCGCCATGGGTGTGCAGCTCGCAGCTTCAGTGGCGCCGGTGGCCGGTCGCACTGCGTGCAGGGAGGCCACGTGCGGTGGGGGCACTGAGCAGAAGAAGAAACAGCGCCACAGCGATGATCACAACTCCCTGTCCCCCTGCCTGCCACATGCAGCCCCGCCACGCCCAGGTGGTCCAAGCCGTCGCCTGCAGCTCTCACAGTGGGGCAGAAACTGTAGCATGGGCACGTGCAGTGTGGGCACTCACCATGAGCAGGAATTGTGTGACGGCAATGACCACTACCCCCTGTCCCCCTGCCACGTGCAGCCGCGCCACGACCAGACCAGGTGCTCCAAGCCGCTGCCGTGCACGTGTAGGTGGGGCACAGGCTGTAACACTCCCACGCTCTGCCTGTGGGAGGGCCCCTGCTGTACGGAAGCCGGGCACTGACTGACCATGAGCAGGAACTGCGCGATGGCAATCACGACCACGCCCTGCCCGCCTGCAATGTGCAGCCCCGGCACGCCCAGGTAGTCCAGGTCGTCGCCCGCCAGCTTGGCGCCGCCCACGCGCCACCACACCGCCTCCAAGAAGGCCGTGTCGCTGTAGCGCTGCAGCGCCTCCGGCACCACCACTCCCAGCGCGCCCAGCATGGCCCACCGCGCATGCAGGATCTCCAGGCTGGGGTGGGTGGGAAAGGGGAAGGACGAAAGGGGAGCGGGGCGAAGTGGCGAAGGAGTGGATCATTCATGTGTGTGCGCCACTGCAGCGCCTCCCCCAGCGCTCCCAGCATAACCTAACGGGCGTGAAGGATGTCAAGGCTGGGGCGAGCGGGGAAAGGAGGGGAGGAAGGTGTGGACACAACACAACACAACACAACACAACACAACACAACACAACACAACACAACACAACACAACACAACACAACACAACACAACACAACACAACACAACACAACACAACACAACACAACACAACACAACACAACACAACACAACACAACACAACACAACACAACACAACACAACACAACACAACACAACACAACACAACACAACACAACACAACACACACAACACAACACAACACAACACAACACAACACAACACAACACAACACAACACAACACAACACAACACAACACAACACAACACAACACAACACAACACAACACAACACAACACAACACAACACAACACAACACAACACAACACAACACAACACAACACAACACAACACAACACAACACAACACAACACAACACAACACAACACAACACAACACAACACAACACAACACAACACAACACAACACAACACAACACAACACAACACAACACAACACAACACAACACAACACAACACAACACAACACAACACAACACAACACAACACAACACAACACAACACAACACAACACAACACAACACAACACAACACAACACAACACAACACAACACAACACAACACAACACAACACAACACAACACAACACAACACAACACAACACAACACAACACAACACAACACAACACAACACAACACAACACAACACAACACAACACAACACAACACAACACAACACAACACAACACAACACAACACAACACAACACAACACAACACAACACAACACAACACAACACACACAACACAACACAACACAACACAACACAACACAACACAACACAACACAACACAAGGAGGGGAGGAAGGTGTGGACACAACACAACACAAGGAGGGGAGGAAGGTGTGGACACAACACAACACAAGGAGGGGAGGAAGGTGTGGACACAACACAACACAAGGAGGGGAGGAAGGTGTGGACACAACACAACACAAGGAGGGGAGGAAGGTGTGGACACAACACAACACAAGGAGGGGAGGAAGGTGTGGACACAACACAACACAAGGAGGGGAGGAAGGTGTGGACACAACACAACACAAGGAGGGGAGGAAGGTGTGGACACAACACAACACAAGGAGGGGAGGAAGGTGTGGACACAACACAACACAAGGAGGGGAGGAAGGTGTGGACACAACACAACACAAGGAGGGTGCGCCTGCGGCCCCCACGCACCAGCACACGCCCTCCAGGAAGGTGGCGTCGCTGTAGTGCTGCAGCACGTCTGGCAGCAGCACTCCCAGCATGGCCCAGCGCCACTCTCAGGCCGCCAGCCAGGATCTCAAGGCTGGCGGGCGCGGGGCGGATGGGGCAGGTGACGGCGTGGGGGAGGCTGGAGAGAGAAGGGGGGGAAAGCCAGGGAGGAGCAGAGATAGCCTTGCTGCATGGTCTTCCCCCCCAGCAGGCGCCACTGTGCGTGGACAAGGATGAGCAGGCGCCACTGTGCGTGGACAAGGATGAGCAGGCGCCACTGTGCGTGGACAAGGATGAGCAGGCGCCACTGTGCGTGGACAAGGATGAGGAGGTGGGCGGAGGGAGGAGTGGCACAGGCGAGCCAAGTAGAGGGGGCAATGCGGCTGGTGCAGAGGGGGCAATGCGGCTGGTGCAGAGGGGGCAATGCGGCTGGTGCAGAGGGGGCAATGCGGCTGGTGCAGAGGGGGCAATGCGGTTGGTGCAGAGGGGGCAATGCGGTTGGTGCAGAGGGGGCAATGCGGCTGGTGCAGAGGGGGCAATGCGGTTGGTGCAGAGGGGGCAATGCGGTTGGTGCAGAGGGGGCAATGCGGCTGGTGCAGAGGGGGCAATGCGGTTGGTGCAGAGGGGGCAATGCGGTTGGTGCAGAGGGGGCAATGCGGCTGGTGCAGAGGGGGCAATGCGGTTGGTGCAGAGGGGGCAATGCGGCTGGTGCAGAGGGGGCAATGCGGTTGGTGCAGAGGGGGCAATGCGGCTGGTGCAGAGGGGGCAATGCGGCTGGTGCAGAGGGGGCAATGCGGTTGGTGCAGAGGGGGCAATGCGGCTGGTGCAGAGGGGGCAATGCGGCTGGTGCAGAGGGGGCAATGCGGCTGGTGCAGAGGGGGCAATGCGGCTGGTGCAGAGGGGGCAATGCGGCTGGTGCAGAGGGGGCAATGCGGCTGGTGCAGAGGGGGCAATGCGGTTGGTGCAGAGGGGGCAATGCGGCTGGTGCAGAGGGGGCAATGCGGTTGGTGCAGAGGGGGCAATGCGGCTGGTGCAGAGGGGGCAATGCGGCTGGTGCAGAGGGGGCAATGCGGTTGGTGCAGAGGGGGCAATGCGGCTGGTGCAGAGGGGGCAATGCGGCTGGTGCAGAGGGGGCAATGCGGCTGGTGCAGAGGGGGCAATGCGGCTGGTGCAGAGGGGGCAATGCGGCTGGTGCAGAGGGGGCAATGCGGCTGGTGCAGAGGGGGCAATGCGGTTGGTGCAGAGGGGGCAATGCGGCTGGTGCAGAGGGGGCAATGCGGTTGGTGCAGAGGGGGCAATGCGGTTGGTGCAGAGGGGGCAATGCGGCTGGTGCAGAGGGGGCAATGCGGTTGGTGCAGAGGGGGCAATGCGGCTGGTGCAGAGGGGGCAATGCGGTTGGTGCAGAGGGGGCAATGCGGCTGGTGCAGAGGGGGCAATGCGGCTGGTGCAGAGGGGGCAATGCGGCTTGGTGCAGAGGGGGCAATGCGGCTGGTGCAGAGGGGGCAATGCGGCTGGTGCAGAGGGGGCAATGCGGCTGGTGCAGAGGGGGCAATGCGGCTGGTGCAGAGGGGGCAATGCGGCTGGTGCAGAGGGGGCAATGCGGTTGGTGCAGAGGGGGCAATGCGGCTGGTGCAGAGGGGGCAATGCGGTTGGTGCAGAGGGGGCAATGCGGCTGGTGCAGAGGGGGCAATGCGGCTGGTGCAGAGGGGGCAATGCGGCTGGTGCAGAGGGGGCAATGCGGCTGGTGCAGAGGGGGCAATGCGGCTGGTGCAGAGGGGGCAATGCGGCTGGTGCAGAGGGGGCAATGCGGCTGGTGCAGAGGGGGCAATGCGGCTGGTGCAGAGGGGGCAATGCGGCTGGTGCAGAGGGGGCAATGCGGCTGGTGCAGAGGGGGCAATGCGGCTGGTGCAGAGGGGGCAATGCGGTTGGTGCAGAGGGGGCAATGCGGCTGGTGCAGAGGGGGCAATGCGGTTGGTGCAGAGGGGGCAATGCGGCTGGTGCAGAGGGGGCAATGCGGCTGGTGCAGAGGGGGCAATGCGGTTGGTGCAGAGGGGGCAATGCGGCTGGTGCAGAGGGGGCAATGCGGCTGGTGCAGAGGGGGCAATGCGGCTGGTGCAGAGGGGGCAATGCGGCTGGTGCAGAGGGGGCAATGCGGCTGGTGCAGAGGGGGCAATGCGGCTGGTGCAGAGGGGGCAATGCGGTTGGTGCAGAGGGGGCAATGCGGCTGGTGCAGAGGGCGAGCCAGCATGCGCTGTGGCACCCGTGTACCTCCCAGCACAACCAGCACAGGCACAGGCACAGGCACAGGCACAGGCACAGGCACAGGCACAGGCACAGGCACAGGCACAGGCACAGGCACAGCAAGCACTGCCTCATTCCCTCATTGGTCAGCTCCCATGCTCCCTTACCTCCCACCCCATTCATCCTCACCTCCCACTCTCCCTACACACCCCCCCACCCCAACTGACTTGTAGTAGCGTTGGAAGGCAGCGGGGTCACGAGCAAGGCCAGCGGGGTCGAAGGCAAAGTCGCCCGCCACTCGGCCGTCCAGGTAGGCCGGGTAGGTGAAGGGCAGCGGGTCCAGCCAGCGCGGGCGTGCAGGGCCGTACCATGGACTGGGGGAGGGGGGAGAGGGCGAAGGGAAAGGGGGAAGGGGAGGGGCGCGTGGAGGGCGGGGGGAAACGGGGAGGGACGAGATGTGTGGGCATGAGATGTGCAGGGAGGGCGTGGTGTGGGCGAAGAGCAGTGATGGGAAGAATGCGTTGGAGCAAAAGTAGGTCCACTTGCACCCATCCCCCCTCGGCTCACCTCTGCCACACCTCCTGCTGCCACTCACTCACCCACCTCTGTTCCCGCGCCTCCTCCCGTTGCGCCTCCACCCGGTCAGCGGCCCGGCGGAGCTCGGGCAGGCGCTGCTGCAGGCGCTGACTGAGTTGACCGCCCAGCCCGCTGTTGGCCAGCGCCTTGACGGCCACGAAGGGCACGGCTGACAACACAAGCACGCCCGCTAGCTGCCCGCACAGGGGTGAAGAGCGGTAAGGGGCGGTCAGGTGGGCGGAGGGGAGGTGAGGGACGGGGAGGGAAGGGACGGGGAGGAACGGGGAGAAGGGGCGAGGGGTGGTCAGGGGGACGAGAGGGGATGACGGGGGACAATGGAAGGCAGCGGGGCAATGAAAAGGAGAGGGCAGGGCGTGTGGGCCGTTGGGTGTTTTTGGGTTTCAATACGAGCAACGATTCGACAGCAGTGAAAGGGACACAGCAGTGAAAGGGACGCAGCAGTGAAAGGGACAGCACAGCACAGCGCAGCGCAGCACAGCACAGCACAGCGCAGCACAGCACAGCACAGCACAGCACAGCACAGCCAGCACAGCACAGCACAGCACAGCACAGCACAGCACAGCACAGCACAGCACAGCACAGCACAGCACAGCACAGCACAGCACAGCACAGCACAGCACAGCACAGCACAGCACAGCACAGCACAGCACAGCACAGCACAGCACCGCACAGCACAGCACAGCACAGCACAGCACAGCACAGCACAGCACAGCACAGCACAGCACAGCACAGCACCGCACAGCACAGCACAGCACAGCACAGCACAGCACAGCACAGCACAGCACAGCACAGCACAGCACAGCACAGCACCGCACAGCACCGCACAGCACAGAAGCTTCCAAGCTACCCACAATCCCACCCAACCCTCTCGTCCCCCTCACTCCCCCTCATCCCCTCACTCCCCCTCATCCCCTCACCTCATCCACGCTTGCTCGCGCCTGCCCCACACCACCCATTCTCCCACGACCATCTCCCCTGCCCGCTGCTGCTCGCCCACTCCTCAGCTGCCACGTGGACCCTCGCCAGCTGCACCCAATCCGTGCTTCGTGGAAGCTTCCAGCTGCGCCCTGGTGCACAGGAAGGGCAGAGGGCAGCGGTCCCGGGGGGTGCGTAAGGAAGGAGCGCAAGGTAGCGGGTGGCGCACGTGTGCACGGGCAAGCACCCCGCATGCTTTTAGTCTCAACAGAATCTCCTTCCTGCCACGTCGACTCGCGGTGTCGCCTGCTGTGCTCACAGGAGGGAGGCGAGGGGCGGCGAGGGGCGGGCGGAGGGAGCACAGGAAGCATGAGGGAGGGCGGGGGGAGGGCGCATGAGCGCGCAGTGCGCGCGTCGCCGGCCAAGCAGTCATCGCAGCGCTAGGTGCGGGCCTTAGTTGGACCGCGGCGGAGGAGCATCTGTCAGGCGCGCACAGCCTTGCGCTCCGCCAACTCCGCGTCGAGGCGGAGAGCGGCTGCGCTCAGAGCCGCCCGTTGCGGCGCCACGAGGGCGGGAGACCAGCGCTGCGGGCCTCGTCGCGACATCGTTGCGGGGATATTTACCCAATGCGTCGCGTCGCCCACAGCCAGCCTGTCAGCAGCAGCCATAGCTGCCGCCGCCTTTCGGCATTTCGCTGCTCCAATCACGCACCTCGCCCGTCTGGCAGCCGCCCGTCGCTTTTCTCCGCCGAGCGCCGTGCGCGGAGCACGCGGACCCGAGCCCCGTAAGCTGGGACGCGCCAGCAGCGCGGAGGGCTGACGCGGGCGACATGGTGCTGCGGGCGAAGCGGCAGGACGCGCAGTGAGCGCGCACTGGTGCTGTGCAAATGGTTCCGGTGTGCTCTGGCGGCGGTGTGCTGCTTGTCACGTGTGGGCGGTTCGGGTTGTCTGCAGCGGATCCTACTCTTGAACTGTGCCAAGCATATGTACATGCATGGTGATTTTACAGCTCATGAATCACTCACTGGTCAGGCTTGTTTGCAGCGGTTCAAAGCGGTGAAGTGAACTTACCTCTCTAGAATGCACAACATCGTAGTCAACCGCTTTAAAAGGGCGGAAAGTTCATCAAGCATGAGAGGCCCCCTAATGGATGGAGGCAGCTATGGTTGGCAATTTGTAAGAGGTGCAGTGGGCTGCAGAGGTTGGGAGCACGGTGAGACAGTGTGAACCAGGGACCTACTGATTCGGCATTCCCAATTGACGACCATAGCGCCTTCATGTTATGGGAAGCATGGAATCGTCCAGCCAATGGAAACAAAGAGCTCGTTGTCCTCGATAAGAGATTGATGTAGAGAGGAGAATGTTGATTCGTAGTCAAATCATGTTCGCGGAATGAAGCTGACAGTGACAGCCCAATCTGCAAGCCAGTATCGCGTACAGAGTCACACGGCACAAAGAGGAACCCTCTCACCAATTGAGCGGCCAATAAGCCACCATCGATGTGCCAACGTGGAGGGCGCGTCGCCACGAATATTCCCCTCGCCGTGACAGCCAGCAGCGGCACTGCAGCTTCGCCTCGCCTGCAGCAACCCACTTTTGTGTGGGCAAACCCTCAACCACTAGCAAGCAGCATCAGCAACAGCACCACCAACACCAGAAACATCACATCACATCACAAAGCCTGGTCGGAGGAAAAGCAAATCATTATCGACATTCAGGCAGCTAGGGCAGTGTCACCAGCGCATTGTCCACCAGCCCTTGCTGCCTCCGCATTCCCACCACCGCATCCACCCTCAGCGTCCCCTCACGCGTTGCTGCAGGGGAGCGGCAGTCCATTCCCGTCGGCCGTCCATTCGTCCCGTTGACGGGCTGCCGCGCGGCACGCTGCCATGGCGGCTCGATCCATCACCGCGGCAGTCCTCGCGTCGTCGCCGCTGCCGCCGCGCGCTGCCGTATCGCGGCAAGGCGCGGAGATAGGCCGGTCGGTTGAGATACAGGCACTCTTAGACACGCGCGCTGCTGCTGCACCGCGTGTTGCGCGCGTAGAGTGTTGCGCTTCTAGCGGGGCTGCTAGCAGCGCAATTGGTGGGGCTTCTACTAGGGCTGTTAGTAGCACCACTGCTGGCCAGCGGCGCGCAACGAACCGGACAGATGGGGCGAGGGAGGCGCGGCCCGTTGTTTCGCGGAAGAAGCGGCGCGGCTTGCGGAGGGTGGCGCACCTCTCCGCCGGCGACGGTACGCAGCCGAGCCCCGAGTCCGCGCGGGCGGTGTGGGCGGAAGTTCTGATAGTGGGGCCGCGGCACTCCGCGCGTGGGGACGAGGAGTGCGGGGAGAGTCCTCAGGGGGTTGCGGGGGAAGCCAGTTGCGCGGGCGGTGGCGCGCAGCAAGAGGGGCTTGGAGCGCGTGGGGAAGGACTCGCGGGGCAGGGGGGCGTGTGGAGTGAGGCGGACGAGGCGGAGCTGATTGCGCGGGCGGTGGGCGGTGCGGTGGTCAATGCAGGGGGGGCGCTTATTGCTGGTGTGATGTGCGCAGGCGCGGTGGACGCGGAGGGCGCGGAGGCGGCGTGGGAAAGGTTGGGGGCGGAGGGCAGCGCGGGAGTGAGTCTATCTGGAGAAGCGGAGGCGGAGACGAAAGCGGGGGAATCTGAGATGGCGCGGGGAAGGCTGGAGCTGGAGCGCGCGCAGCTGGAGCTGGCGATGCGGGAGTCGCGTGGGGAGGCGGAGAGGAGAGAGGCGGAGCGCGGAGCGGCGGAGAGCGGGGAGGCGGAGGAGGGAGAGGCGGAAAGGGGGGAGGCGGAGGCGGTGGAGGGCGAGGTGGCAGTGGGGGAGGTAGAGCCGCAGAAGGCCATGAGATTGGGCGAGGGCTTTGAGGAGTGGGGGGACGCACGACATGGCGAGGACAGCGTTTGCGCGGGTGACACGGTTGGGCTGCTGGTTGCGCGGAAGGACTCAGCAGGCGTGGCGGAGCACGCGGAGCGGGGGGTGCGCGCGGATGCAGCTGGGGGCTCGGAGTCGAGCGACGACGAGGCTGCTGCGGTGGAAGCCAGGCCAGCCGCTTTCCCCGCCGCTCTTAACTGTACGTGCCATACACCCCCACGCTCTCTCCTCTCAACCGCACCTCAACCGCCCCTCCCCACCCTCGACTCACCACGTGTACTCACTCCTTCCTGCTCCCCCTGCGCCCCCTTGCGACTTCCTGCGGGGTCCCAAGTGACGCTCCTTGTGACCCCCGTGGTTTATCCTGGCGAGTGCGTGTAGCGCTGCATCCGAGCCACGTGTTGGACTTGTCACTCGACTCCATCCAAACGCACTCCCTTTTCTCGCCATCCCCACTCCCCTGCGCCCCCCTGCCACTGCGCCCCCCTGCGTCCTCCACACCAACCCCCACCCCGCCCCCAGCGCTGTACCTGGCGTTTGTGTTCAACTGCTTCGTGGAGCACGCGTGGCGCTTCGCGGGCGCGGCTCTGCTGGCGCTGCTGCACGACTCGCTGCTGCCCGTCGCCGTCGCCAGCTTCGCCAGCCAGGTGCGGCGCTCCACACGGCTGTGCCTCACCCCACGGCTGTGCCTCACCCCACGGCTGTGGCCTGTCCGTTCTTTTCTGGTCTTCTCAGCCCACCATCCCACTCGCATTCCTTGTCCCGACGCCATCCATTCCCCCATCCTCACCATCCATTCCCCCATCCTCACCATCCATTCCCCATCCCCACCATCCATTTCCCATCCTCACCATCCATTCCCCCATCCCCACCATCCATTTCCCATCCTCACCATCCATTCCCCCATCCCCTCATGTCCTTCCTACCTCACGTCCTTCCATCCCAGTTCCCCACATTCTCTGAACCCTCCAATCTCCATGTATTTTCCTCCCGCCATCCTCTGTCTGTCGGGCTCTTACCCTCTCCCCCCAAGTCCCATGGCAGCTGGAGCGTGGTGGTCTGCGTGGCCGCGCCACTGGTGGAAGAGGCGACAGACTCTGGTCCAGGAGTCGGTGCGGTGAACAGCATCCATTCCCCCATACCCTCATGTCCTCCTGCTCCATCCTCCCCCGTCGCAATTTCTACCCCCACCCCCTCTATGTCCCCATGGCAGCTGGTGGTGTTCGTGGGGGCGCCGCTGGTGGGCGACATGATGGACTCTGCCCCGCGGGTCGCGGCCTTCAACACCATCTCCTGCATCCAGGTGGGCCTTCAACACCATCTCCTGCATCCAGGTGGGCCTTCAACACCATCTCCTGCATCCAGGTGTGCCTTCAACACCATCTCCTGCATCCAGGTGGGCCTTCAACACCATCTCCTGCATCCAGGTGGGCCTTCAACACCATCTCCTGCATCCAGGTGTGCCTTCAACACCATCTCCTGCATCCAGGTGGGCCTTCAACACCATCTCCTGCATCCAGGTGTGCCTTCAACACCATCTCCTGCATCCAGGTGTGCCTTCAACACCATCTCCTGCATCCAGGTGGGCCTTCAACACCATCTCCTGCATCCAGGTGGGCCTTCAACACCATCTCCTGCATCCAGGTGGGCCTTCAACACCATCTCCTGCATCCAGGTGTGCCTTCAACACCATCTCCTGCATCCAGGTGGGCCTTCAACACCATCTCCTGCATCCAGGTGTGCCTTCAACACCATCTCCTGCATCCAGGTGTGCCTTCAACACCATCTCCTGCATCCAGGTGTGCCTTCAACACCATCTCCTGCATCCAGGTGTGCCTTCAACACCATCTCCTGCATCCAGGTGTGCCTTCAACACCATCTCCTGCATCCAGGTGTGCCTTCAACACCATCTCCTGCATCCAGGTGTGCCTTCAACACCATCTCCTGCATCCAGGTACCAATCTCAAATCAACTGCTCTTTCAACTACTGTCAGAGGCACACTCCTTCCGCACTTCCTTCCCGCGTGTCGCACTGCTCCCGCCTCTTTCCCCTCGGCCTCCATTCCCATCTCATCCCCATCTCCCCCCTGCTCCCCCTTTCTCTCCTCCCCCCCCCCCCTCCCCCTACACTCTCCCCCAGACAGCAGCCATGGTAGCAGCAGCGCTGGCAACGCTAGCAGCAGTGCACGCGGCGCCGGCAGTGGCGGGGCAGTCAGGAGCGGTGCTGATGCGGAAGGGATGGTTCGCGGTGCTGGTGGTGGCGGGGGCGGTGGAGCGCATCACAGGCATTGCGTCCGGCGTGGCCTTCGAACGTGACTGGGTCATTCTCGTAAGTGGTGGGGGGGACAGACGGGGGAGGGGGGCGGATGAGGAAGGGGTGGATCCGGTGCTGGCAGGCGCTGTGGAGCGCATCACTGGCGTCGCCTCTGCTGTGGCCTTCAAACGTGACTGGGTAAGACGTGGTGCCGAAGAAGGGGGGTGGAGGAGGATGGTGGGAGTTGAGAGAGGGTGGGTGTACCTGCTGCGCCTGTGTACCTGCTGCGCCTGTCTTCCTTTTCCACTCTCTTCACTTGTTCGCTCATCTTGCTCTCCCTTCATCTTCATCCCCCTCGCCCCACTGACCTTCTCACCCCCCCTCCCCCCTCTTGTTCTCTTCTCCCCCCCGTCCACCCTCACCGCAGTTGGCGGGGCAGGGCAACGCGGCAGCGCTGGCCAACGCCAACGCCATGCTGCGCCGGGCCGACCTCTTCTGTGACGTGCGTGCACCCAGGCACAGAGCCGTTGAGCCCAAGAGATGCTGTGGGCCCATCAGCCAGTGTGATGCTGTGGGCCGATGAGCCAGTGTGTGGGCCGATGAGCCAGTGTGCGGGCCGATGAGCCAGTGTGCCATGCCGATGAGCCAGTGTGCCATGCCGTTGAGCCAGTGTGCCATGCCGTTGAGCCAGTGTGCCATGCCGTTGAGCCAGTGTGCCATGCCGTTGAGCCAGTGTGCCATGCCGTTGAGCCAGTGTGCCATGCCGTTGAGCCAGTGTGCCATGCCGTGGCCGTCCCCCGCTTCTCCTTCTCTGCTGCCTCATGCTTCCCCCACTTACCCTTGTGCGACCCCACACTCCTGCTTTCAACATTTTCCCTCGTTTCACCCCTTCCACCTCCATCCAATGGCGTCGCGCCAGGTGGCAGGGCCGGTGGTGTTTGGGTGGCTGCTCTCAGCATTCAGCCCGGCTGTGTGCATCAAAGCCTCCCTCGCCACCATGCTGCTCTCCCTGCCCATCCTCGTGAGCTGCTCTCGCCCAGCGCCGTACGTTGCTCCGCTACCAGCGCCGAGGCCGTGCGCGTGGAGTGAGGCCTTTCCATCCCACCCTCCCCGCTGCTTCTCCTCAACCCCGCTCCTGCTGCTCCTGCTGCTCCTGCTGCTCCTGCCCTGCTGCGTGTGCTTCTCCCTTCCCTCACAGCTCCGCCCTCATCGCAACCATTTCCGCCCCTTGCTCACTCTCCCCTCCCTTCCCCCTCCCCCTCACCAGATCATCGTCTTGATCCTCGTCCCCCCCCTTCTCTTCCTTCTCCCACCCCCCCCATGCAGATCTGCCTCGTGCTGCGCACGGACCGCCAGTCCAACGGTGTGCTGAGCCGCCCCAAGCCGCCTGCTGCACCACGGCTCTCCCTAGAGCCGCCCTCCACACAGCGCACCAGCAGCACGAGCCGCACGGAGAGCAGGGGGGGGGGGAGAGGTAGCAGGGAAAGAGCGACTGCTGCAGGGGCTGCTGGTTCTGCAGCAGACACGGCCGCATCCACCCGCGCACCCTCCCCTGCTGCCGGCGTCCCGCCACCCGCGCTGCTCCTCATGGCAGCACCCCGGGCTGTAGCGGCGGCACTCACTGGCAGCTGCCGGGCAGCCGGGTCGGTTGTGGGGATGTCGGTGCGGTCGGTGGTGCGCGGGTGGAGGAGTTTCCTGGGGCAGCCGGTGCTGCCCGTGAGTGTGGCGTACGTGTTGCTCTTCTTCAACTGTGTGCTGTCGCCCGGCGGGCTCATCACCAGCTTCCTCACGCAGCAAGGTGCGTGAGTGGGTCAATGCCAGTGACTTGCGGTGAGTGGGTCAATGCCAGTGACTTGCGGTGAGTGGGTCAATGCCAGTGACTTGCGGTGGGGCACTGGCGTGTGGTGGGGTGTGGCTGGATCAAACCATTTGATCCCATCACAATCTGCTCTCTCCATTCTACCTACCTTGCTCGCTGCTTTCGCCCATCCCTCTCCATCCCTCTCCATCCCTCTCCATCCCTCTCTCGAACGGACCTCTCCCAGGAGTAGACGTGTCGGTGATAGGGGCCTTCAGAGGCGCGTGTGCGGCCATGGGCTTCGCTGCCACCTTTCTCTCGCCGCTCCTCATCACCCGCCTTGGCCTGCTGCAGGTGACGCGTGTCATCACACCATGTTATGACACCATGTTATGACACCATGTTATGACACCATGTTATGACACCATGTTATGACACCATGTTATGACACCATGTTATGACACCATGTTATGACACCATGTTATGACACCATGTTATGACACCATGTTATGACACCATGTTATGACACCATGTTATGACACCATGTTATGACACCATGTTATGACACCATGTTATGACACCATGTTATGACACCATGTTATGACACCATGTTATGACACCATGTTATGACACCATGTTATGACACCATGTTATGACACCATGTTATGACACCATGTTATGACACCATGTTATGACACCATGTTATGACACCATGTTATGACACCATGTTATGACACCATGTTATGACACCATGTTATGACACCATGTTATGACACCATGTTATGACACCATGTTATGACACCATGTTATGACACCATGTTATGACACCATGTTATGACACCATGTTATGACACCATGTTATGACACCATGTTATGTCCCGCTCACATCCCCACGCGTCTCCAAGCGCCTGCGCCATCTCGCCATGTTCCGTCTCCTCGCCTCGCCACCAGCCCTGCCCTGCCTCTCTCAGCACTGCACCCCCATCCCTTTATCCCCCACATCACCCCACCTCACTCCACCTCTTCCCCCCGTTTCTCTTCCACCAGGCGGGCGGGGCAGCGCTGCTGTTCCAGTCGCTGGTGCTGGCGGCGTCCCTGGGGGTCTTCGCCCTCTCTCACTCCATGGGCCACCACCACTCGCTGCTCCTCGCCTTCCTCGCGCTCATCGTGAGTTATCCCCCTCAGCAATCACTCATGCCACTAGTGTTGCCTCTTTGTTAATGAATCCCAGCAGGTTACCCTATCACAAGCTACCGCTTTCACGAGTTACCCCTGACACCCCACAGCATTTCACGCACCTCAAACTCCCTCCCATCTCTCAACCCCACACATGCACACCAATCCGCGCCCCACTCTGTGCAGGTGCCACTCTGTGCAGGTGCCACTCTGTGCAGGTGCCACTCTTTTTGCAGGTGCCACTCTTTTTGCAGGTGCCACTCTTTTTGCAGGTGCCACTCTTTTTGCAGGTGCCACTCTTTTTGCAGGTGCCACTCTTTTTGCAGGTGCCACTCTTTTGCGGGTGCCTGCACACCTCCATTACAGGCACCTCAAACACCCCCCCTCTCCACCCAACCTCCACCCACCCTCTCCCTGCAGGTGGTATCACGGCTGGGCCACTGGACATACGACGTGGTGGACGCGCAGATCTTCCAGGTGGCCATCCCGCCCGCGCAGGCCAACATAGTGGGCACCACGGAGGTGGCGCTGGCGAGCCTGGCGGAGCTCGTCATGCTGGCCCTCGCCATCGCCGCCCACGACGTGCGCCACTTCGGCCTCCTCGCCGCGCTCTCCGCTGCTGCTGTGTTCGCAGCTGCCGCCATCTACTGCGCGTGGGAGCGGTCGGGAAATCATCATCGTAGGAGCCTCTTTCCGCCGGAGCCACGGCTAAGGTGGTGGCCGTGGGGGCGGCGCAAGAGGAGAGCGGGCGGGGCGGGTGGTGGTAAAGGGGCAGGAACGGGGACGGGAGCGCCTGCTGCACCAGCTGCCTGATTCTGAGTGCTTGCGTAGTCCAACTCCCATTCGAAGGACGATAGTTGCTCTTGTGGATTATTGTTTTCGGTGGAGGTCAGCAGCACCAGATACGGTAGCTCAATTCTGCTTCTCGACGAGTCAAGTATGGTAGTCATCCCCTAATCCAGCAACTGGTATGCATTTAGTAGCCCTGTTGCTTCAACAGGCATGCAGGCTATTTTCAACCTAGTATACATGAGAAAGCCATGCCATACCCGCATGTACTGCTTCGCCTTTATCCAGTAAGCCGTGTCTCAAACATCGCATGGGAGCACAGTGCACTGGCAAGCAACAACACACTTCTGTGACGCCATTTTAATCCGCCTCATTATTCGCCTTCTTAGGTGCCTCCAACACTTGCAGATGGGGTCACTGGTAGGCAGCAACGCAGCAATGTACTGTTGAGAACAAGTAACTCAAGCGCCTCTGTCGTGTCGAAGCACTAAGTCATAAACGAAGCGAAACACAGCGAAGCATCGGCGAGTCAACCCTCGGAGGTTGAACAACTGCTGGAGGTTACGCGAAAGTCAAAGGTCAACGACCTTTGACCTGACAAGTACAGCGCGACAGCAAGGACAAACAATAGACTCGTTATTGAGCAGTTGCCCGAGTAGTCACTATATCGAACCACAACAGCAACAGCAAAACAGTTATTAGCGATAACCCTTCATATTCCCTTGCAGGGCCCAAAATTGGTTTTGGGGCACCCTGCCATATTGTTGGGCTGAAATGCCCCTTAGGATCTTTGGTAGGATGAAACTCTAGGTAAAGTGATGTAATAGCGGAAGCGTTTAAGAGAAGATTCTGAACCACCTTGCGCTGGTATGTGAGGGCAAAGTAAGTTGATTAAAGCAAAGAGATACAAGATTATATAAGAGTACAATGAATACGAAGAGATACGGTTGTAACTGCTTTTGCTGTTGCTTGTTGCGGTTCGATACAGTGACGGCTGGTGCAACTGCTCAGTATCGAGCCAGTTGTGTGTCCTTGCTGTCGCGCTGTATTTGTCAAGTCAAATGTCGCTGACCTTTGACCTTCGCGTAACCTCCAGCGGTTACTTCAACCTCCGAGGGTTGACTCGCTAGTGCCTCGATATGATTTGCTTCGCTTGTGCCTTGGTGTTTCGACACGATAGAAGCGCTTTAGGACCGATTGTTTCCAACACTCCCCTTCGCTTCTGGAGTGTCGCTGACGTGGCTCTGTCCAGTCAGCAACATGCAGTATTCGAACTTCTGCTTTCCGAGTTTCTTGGTCAGGTAGTCAGCTGCCATCTCGGACGTGGGACAGTATGACAGGACGAGTCTTCCCTTCTCGATCTCGTCCTTCACGAAGAAATATCGCAGGGCGATGTGTTTCGTCCTGTTCGTGAAGCCGTTCTTGTTGGCGATGCGGATTGCAGATTGGTTGTCGTAGAAAAGGGTGAAGTTGGGTAACTCGGCTAATTTCGCTTCTTCTAGCAGTTCGCGAAGGTACAGTCCTTCCTTGGTGGCTGAGCAGAGTGCAATGTATTCTGCTTCAGCTGATGAGAGAGCAATTAGTTCTTGCTTACTCGATTGCCAGGAGATAGGCCCGATAGGCTCGAAGCGGTAGATATAGCCGGTGCGCGATCGTCTGTTGTCGGAGTCGCCCGCGTGATCTGCGTCGACGTAACCGATTAGCTTAGGTGGTGCAGTTGCGTTCTTATGGTAGGTCAGGCCGACCGTCGGAGTGCTGACGAAGTAGTGAAGAGCGCGGTCGAGTTCCGCCAGATGCTCTGCTTCAGGCCTTTTGAGATAGGTAGCGAGCTGGCTTGCGGAGTATGAGAGGTCGGGACAACATGTGACGGCTGCGAAGAGTAGACATCCCAGTTTCTTCTGGTAGTCTCGTATGCCGGCGGGTTTGAGTAGGGCGGAGCCTCCTTTGTCGTTCCCTGCCGTGTAGCGGTATGGCGTGGAAATGGCTGCTGGTGTGATCGTAAAGCGTTTGGCGATAGTGTCGGCGTATTTTTCGGCGCTGAGGTAGATCGCGTTCTTTTCTTCGCGGATGTTGAGGCCGAGATACTGAGTGACAGTAGATGAGCCTGTGAGCGTGAGATCTTGCTGCAGCTCCCCTTCAAACCAGGTGGTTATGCCATCAGTCGAGCCGATGTAGAGAAGATCATCCACGTAGACGATTAGCAGAATTTAGTCTTCGTCTTTAGTGAGCCGGTACATGCCTTGATCGTGCGGTAGTTGCTTGAAGCCGATGCGGATGAGGCGAGCGTGCAGGTGCCGTTGCCACAGTCGCGGGGCCTGCTTGATGTCGTAGAGTGACTTGAGTAGCTGGCAAACTTGGTTGGGTTCTCCGTGGGAGCTGTGAGGTAACTCAACAAAGATTTCGGCATCAACAGGTGCGTAGAGGAATGCGTTGGCGACGTCGATTTGTCGCAGCTTCTTTTTCTTCATGGCGGCGATCGCGAGGATGATTCGAAGTGAGGTATGTCGGCTAACCAGGGCGAATGTCTCGGTGAAGTCCCGTCCATGCTCTTGATCGAATCCACGCACAACCCAGCGTGCTTTGAACTTCTCAATTGTGCCATCTGCTTTTGTTTTAACGCGGAATACCCATTTCTCGGTGAGGATGGTTTTGTTCCTCGCCATGATGATGGGGACGATTTTCCAGGTGTTCCGGTCCTCCAGCGCCTTTAACTCTTTGTCCATGGATTCACGCCATTTCTCCCTGTGCTCCCCCCCCAGAGCCTGCTGAACCGTCGCATGCTCCTTAGGAAGAGCGTCTCCGTGGACTGCGGTGACGGGGCCGAGTATCTGCAGTCCAGTTTGTGAGTAGCGGGGAAGATTTGTGTCCTCGGGATAAGCTGCTTCATCTCCCGCTTCTGGATCGGGTAAGAAATTCGGTCCTACTCGTTCTGCTTCGTTGGTGTTGACTGTCGCAGGTGTTACGTAACCATTGTCGGCGAAGTAGTAGAAGGTTTCGGCGTTGACGCTTTCGCGAGGGTTGTCTTCGTCCATGGGAACGTCGACGGAGCAGAACGGTAAAGGTCCGGCTTCTTCTGACGCGTTGTCCACATTTTGTTTGTCCCAGTTAGCTTCGTCTTCTGCGGAGGCGAAGGCTCGGTCTCCACGGAAACCACCTGTGGGATCTTGGTCCTCTTGCAGGTTGGCAAGGTATGTCTGGGGTGTGAGTCGTTCGTAGAAGATGACATCGCGTGCTGCTAGTGTTTCCTTGGAGTGGATGTCGAAGATTGTCCATGCGCTGTAATTCTTTTCAATGCCGAGGTGTAGTCCCCACTGTGCGCGTTGTGAAAATCTTCCCGCTCGTGCTGCTGGGGGTCGGTACTGTACCATGCATCCGAACACTAGTAACATTTTTGTGCTGACCTGTTTCCCTGTCCACAGCAAATGCGGTGATGCGTTGTTCGGAAGCGATGATGACGACAGCAAGTTGTGCAGCATGACAGCGTGGTCCATTGCTGCAGGCCACTGGTGGTCGGGTAGCCGCATGCCACGCAACAGTTTGCGCATGCTGTTCTGCAGAGTCCTGTTCATTCTTTCTGCTACGCCTTGCTGTTGATGTGCATAGGGAAGGGAGAGGAGCTGCTTGATGCCTCTTTCTGCCAGGTACTGCTTGAAGCGGTGAGAGGTGTATTCTCCTCCTCCGTCTGATTGTAAGCTTTTCAGCTTTACCCCCGACTCTCTCTCTGCTACTGGTAGCCAGGCAGCGAATGCTGCGAGGGCCATGTCGCGGCTGGGTAGGTTTAGGTGCCAGACGTAGCGGGTGGCGGCGTCGATGAAGGTGATTGTGTAGTTGTAAATTACTTGTCCTGGCTCCCAATTGTACAAGATGTCGCTGTACACCTTTTCAAGTGGTGCGTACGCGGGTGCGCTCGGGTTGTGACGAGGAGCGAACGGCCGATGCGGTAAGTCGGCTTCGGGGCAGGTGAGGGATGTTCCTCGTGCTCGTTGAAGTTCTCTTCCGTCGAGTAGTAGTAACGAGTCCTTGTCAAGGACTCCTGCTCTTATGGTGTTGTTTAACACAGTGTTGCTTGCGTGTCCCATTCTTGCGTGCCAGGTACTTTCGTCGGCGCGATGCCCGGGTGATCGTCGGTACATGTCGGAGTTGGAGTAAAAGCTGGCAATGAATTTGACGCTACGATGAACTTCTCGTGGTGCTGGGTGGAGCTGTTGTGCTGGTGTTGGCGGTGTTTCATTGACGAGGATTGGTGTCGTTGTTGCTGCTGCTCTTGTTGTTCCTGCTGCTGCCGATGTTGTCTTTGCTGCTGCCGATGTTGTTTCTGCTGCTGCCGATGTTGTCTCTGCTGCTGCCGATGTTGTTTCTGCTGCTGCCGATGTTGTCTCTGCTGCTGCCGATGTTGTTTCTGCTGCTGCCGAATGTTGAATTGTTACTAACGCGCGTGTTCGTTCTGCTTCAGGAATGGTATGTTGTCGCGGTTTATGTAGCCAAGAGGGCCACAGAGTAACCGAGACAGCACCAAGAGGTGGCAGCAGGGAGAGCGGGAGGATGTAGCAGAAGCGGAGTCTAAAAGGGCGGAGGGAAGAAGGGAGGGTGTACATAATTGTAAATAACGCTCAAGTATGTTTGCATGAGAATGGTGGGTGTATGAGTTGGGGTGGGTGCATGTTTCGTTTGTGTCCTGTGCAGGGCGAGAGCTGTTGACGCGGATAAGCACAGCACAGCCGACAGGTGGCAGAAGCTGCAGTTGAACATGCACGCCATGCTTGCAGCTGGCGAAGGTCTTGCGCTGGAGCCCATGCAGATTCAGAGCGCCTGCGGTTTGTAAATACGGCTCGGCACCCCGAGCCTCGCCCATGTGATGTTTGCATGCTAGAAGCGCTAGGCTAGGGCAGCAAGGTTGTCTTGTACATAGCAGAGCTGAAACCCTAGTGTTGGCTGCTTCGTTGAATGTTTCCCGTTTTGCTCAAATGTAATCCTGTTAACCCAGTCACAGGCAGTCATGAGCACGCTAGGGAACCAGCTTGTCA